TTGGCCAGCCACATGTCCGTCTGTTTTTCCAGCTTCCATGAATGATATTGTTGTTTCGTTTATCTCCTGGTGCCACAGCTGGCAAACTTCATAGCATAAATCCATTCATGTTGCAAGATCCACAACACACCCAGGGAAGCTGGCACTGACCCTGAATCAATTTGTCATGTTGAACTTTATGCGTTTGGCATCCAATTTTTGCACACTCACTCAAATCAAATCCTGTGGGATGTGGTCAGAATCATCTGGTGAAAATTCATCTTGTGAAATGGTCACAAATACCCTAAAATGGTCTTGCCGTTGGCAAGTAACAAGTCTACCACAGTAACAAGATGGGGACTTTCTCTCAAATTGTGTCCTACCACAGTGATGTTCTCTGCTACAAAGAGCCACATCTGGAATGGACAGGTAGCTATTTTAGCTAACAAGATGTTCATAAATGTGAGAGAAACAGATTAATTTGGATCAGAGACTCTAAATTAAATGAGTTATTGTGTACAGAGACTTTTACTTACATCTAGTTATGATAGGCCATTTTGTTGTATCTTAAATTTAAGCCATGACAAATGATTTTCCTTGTGATTTCCATCCATAGATTGCATCAATATTTGGCAGCACATTAAGTAGGGTTTCCCAAATAAACACAATCAAAAGAAATATATGATAATTATTCAAGGGAATTTATTAGGTAAGCTTACAGAATCAGAAATGGGAAAGTTCACAATGACCATCTGCAGGATCAGAGATGAAAGAATCCATCATGGCCAGCTGTGCACTGGAGACCCAAGAAGATGGAAGCTACAGAACAAGTGAAATCAAAGATAAAGCACTGCTTCAGGGTAAAAGGCCAGGAAGCTCACTGTGGGGCTGGCCATGATAGACTGCGTAGACAGGCTGAAGGAACTGGAAACTGCCAGTGTCCCAAGATGATGGTGAAAAAACTCTTCCAAAACAGAGACATTTATTTCTTCTTTCCCTTTTTATTCCATCCAGGCTAAAAACCTATTGGTTGGTCCTATCCACATCAAAAGGGGTATTCTTTGTTCAGCTTAATGATCTACTTGTCAGTCATCCAAACATACACAAGGAACTGTATATTACTAATTTGGTAGTCATTTCCAAATCTATTTGAGGTGACATACGATTAATGATCACAGGTATTATGTGTGAGGTCTTTTGCTTAGCATATTGTATCAGATCCTTAGTTTTTCTAAGAAAGTGTTCTGTCTTTAATGTTTTTTTGCTAAAAGGAACAGGGTGTAAGTGGGGAAGAGTAGGACTAAGGGAAGGGAGACAGTGCAGGGTTGATCTCACAGGTATCATTCTCAAAGAAAGAACTGTAAACATGTGTCTTTACTTCCCCTTAGAATACCTTGTGCTTTTATCGTCCTATTTTGGACCTAGTAATTTTCTCTCAGCACTGGTGAATTTTATAGTAAGGAGCACTTACTTTAGATGCCCAAACTCTGTTTCTATTCAGGTTTCAGAGAAGTGCTTTGGTGAAGTTGTTTGTACACAAACAGTCTGAACATGTCAGATTTGTAGACTTTGTTTTTTCACAGGGTGTGCCCTTTTCTCTGAATAACATTTTGGGTACAAAAGGATGATTTTTTTCAGCAGCCCCAATGATATCATTGACACTGAGTTCCTTCTGTGCACTGAAAATATTATCAACTGCCTTTTTATTTGCATAGGAGTAATGTTGCAAGTAGTCCTGTTTATACCACTGCTGACCACCACATGACGCCTCGTGTTGTCATAAAATGTTTGCAAAGCTGTCCTCCACCTCCAATTCTAAGCAAGATAGTCTAGTTCCTCTTTCTGAACCCTTCTTTACTAACTCCAAATCCAGATATGACTGTTTTAGACCATTTCAGCTTTGGATTGATGTGTCCTTTCTCAAATAATATTTGCACAAATCTCAAATCTGAAACTTCCAAAGCATCCCATCCAAAAAGTGATTAAGGACCCAGAATAGTACTACAGTTGGGAGGAATCTAAATATTCAGCTGGTCCATCAATCTTATTTTATAGAGAACAAAGTCATTATGAAAGGAAACATACAGTCTTAATGAGACTGCTTCAGATAGCTCTTCACCTTGACAAACTTAAACTACTTTGGCAAAATTGTAAGAATGAAAAAGATCTGAGACCTTTATTAGTCATCTTTCCTGTCGCTAAGACACAGCCTGACATTCACAATTGGTTTAGTTTGACTCATGGTTTCCGAGGGTTCAGTCTATGGTAGGCTGGCTCCAAGGTAGGAATATCACAGCAGAAGAGTGTGGCGAAGCAAAGCTGCTCAGTTCATGGCAGCTGGGAAGCAGAACAGGGGAAGAGTGACAGAGAGGAAAACCAGGGCCCATACACAGTACCCAACCTTATACTACTATGGCCCACTCAGGAACAAATGTACTTTGGCAACCACTAGGCAGCTCCCAAGCCAATTGAGTTGACATAATTAAAATTAGCCATCACAAACCCTGTCTACGAACCAGTGCCATGCTCAGGCCACTGTAGGACTGGTAACAGACAGATCCCAGCCCTTTCTGACATGAGGGCTGGCAAACAAGCTGTACCTGCCCCACCCCACCCCTGCCATAAGTGACTGGCGTATCCAAGAAACACAGGCAATGATGATAGCTATGGAGGTGAAATGCAATTGTATGCCTGTGGTGCTTTGGTGCTTCACTAACATTGCAGGTCTAGAGCCAGTGGTCTGATCATAGGTTTAGAAGCTAGTGGTACACAGTGTGGCATGGGGCAGGGGGAGAGGAATCGCCTTCTGAGGGTTGCAGCTACTGTTGATCCCCTATGGTCTTGTTTTGGAAGTTCTATATTATTTCCATTATTTGGTTGAGTTGGGTTTTATTCTCTTTTGTTTTGTTTCATTATGTCAAATCCTATGGCAGGAGCAGCTATTTCAAACATAGCAAGATATACTATGGTAGTCATTTTGGATTTACTGTAGGCTTGTTTTGAAATCCTTTATTGTATTCATTGTTTTGTTTTTATTGTTTCTATTCTATTCTGTTCTGTTTGATTTTCACTATATATGAAGTTATCTGCAGCTATTTGATGAAGACATCAAAAGGAATTATGGTAACTACTGCTGATTTCTTAATGTTTTGAAGTTCTCTATCTTTCACACTGGTTTGTTTTTATTGGTTTCATTCTGTTTTATCTTCTTTAAAATTAAAAAATTAACCACCACAAAACCCCTTCCCAATCCCTCAAGGATAGTTTTAAGACCTCATTGAATCATTAACAACAAAAAATAAAATCCTTACTTTGTGTATATGGATTGTCCTTCTAAGAGTCTTAAAATGGAAAGTTACTAGTGAGAATATTTTTTCTAGTCTTTTAATTTGGGGTCATCTCTTAATGAACAGAACCAAAGAAATAAACATACCTAAACTGTCGCTAGTACTGCACAGTGGATCAAACCCAGTTTCACTAAGAGTTCTTTTTCATGTAAACACGAGTAGTTGATCAACTGACATGAAAAATTCCTCCCTTTTAAATTCAATATGTTTAGCTAACTAAGAAACTCTGCGTTAATTCCTTTTGGAAGAATTCAGGACAGAGTCCCTGCTTATGAAATTGTACTCTACATTTCTGTAACGGGAGTAAAGTAAGTTTATTAGTGCCTGTTTACAGTGCATGTTTGCCTTCCTTGTGTGGAGTTGGTACATGTACAAAATACATCTGAATTCATTTTGTATGTACATTCCCTCCCCTCCTTCATCCTTCCTCCATCTGCTGATCTCCTTCCCATTTGATTTTGTTTTCTTTTCTTTTGTCTCTCTGAGTCAGGATCTCACTATCTCATTCAGGCTGGCCTGAACTCACGTTGTGGCCGAGGCTGGCCTTGAACTTGCAGCCATCCACCTGCCCAAGCTTTCTGATTGCTGGGATTACAGGTGTGCGCTATGCTATCATGCCTGATTCTCTTGCCATTTGAGAAACATTTATTTCCCTACTGCCTATAATGTTTCTTTTATTTTGCCCTTTATTTATAATTTGTGGTTCTCATGTAAGACAAAGTGTATGATATTTAATCATTTGTGTCTGATTTATTTCATTTAACATTATGGTCTCAAGATGCATTCATTTTCCTGTGAATAACTCAAGTTTATCTTTCCTTACAGCAGAGTAGTACTTTAGTACATGTGAATACCACATATTATTTATCTATTCATCTGCTGATGGATAAGACTTAGCTATTTTGTGCTACTATAAACATGGATATACATTTATCATTGTAATATGATGTCTATAACTCTTTGGGGAAGATACATAAAAGGGAATAGCGGGGTAAGATGTCATTTTAGTTTTAGTTTTTTATGTATTTCCATAGCGGTTATACTAGTTATACTAGTTTACATTCCCATCGCTAATGTAGAAGGGTTTCCTTGCAGTCTCATCAATGTTTCTTATAGTTGATTTCTTGATGATGACTATCCTTTCTGGGGTAAGATGGAATCTCAGTGTTGTTTTAATTTGTATTTCTCTCGTGGCCAATGATGCTGCATTTATTGGCTATTTTACACCTTCTGTGGCCAATTCTTCATGCATTTATTGGCTATTTTACACCTTCTGTGAAGTGTCTATTTATTTCACTTGCTCATTCTTTGACTAGGCATTTTATTTTGGAGGGTGTAATTATTTTGAGTTCTTTATATATTTTGTGTATTAGTCTTCTAAAGAACAGTTGCAAATTTTTTTCCCATTCTGTAAGTTGTCTTTCATTTTGTTGGTTGTTTATTTTGCATTGTAGAGTTTTTTAATTTGATATGATCACATTTGTTGATTCTTGATACTATTTTCTGTGCAACCAAGATTATTTTCAGAAAGGTCCTGTCTATGTGTATAATTTTTTAAAACTGTCAAAATCATAGAATGGTAGAGGTTATGGTACATTTTATGATTAATGGTAGTATAAATCACCACAAACTTTGGAAAGTAAGTTAGAAATATATAGTTTCAAGAATCTTTAAGTTCACTTCAGCCTCACATATACTAAAATTGTAGTGATACAGAGAAGGTTGGCATGACCCCTGCACATGGATGACATGAAAATTTGTGAAGTGTTTCATATAAATAAAAAGAATCCTCAAAAATTCAGGCAACTCAATGCAGCAGTTCTACTTGTGTGAATCTATTTTAAGAAATTAATCATAATATAAACCCAGTCTTAAACACAAAACTGCTCATAACAGTTATTTATAGTAGCTAAAACATTAGAAACAATTTCAATGTCTACTAAAAGAAAAACAGTAATAAATTATAGTATAAACATTAGATAGTCATCATCACATATGCTGTTTATAAGATTTTTAGTGCCATATAAAAATGTTTCTAATAAATACTAAGCAAAAGATTAGGATGTAAAAACTGTGTGGGTGTGTTATATCCAAACATTGTATGTGCATGTGAGGTTACTTGAAGAAATATAACATATTGTAAACTATTATAAACAATATTTATCTCTGGTATGATTCCTATAATCTTTATTCCTTTTACATATATTTCTATGCTTTCTAATTATCTGCCTATTAGAATCAAACTTTTATAAATAAAATAATATTAATTTTAGCTTAAATTATCAAAGAAAATTGTAAACTTAAGTGAAAAAGCTATACAAAGGTGAGTCACAACTCCTGCTTATTTTTGATTTTGCACTGATCTTATTGAATAGATAAATCAGTATAGGAGTAAAGGAATATGTGTGTTTATTTTCAGAAGCTCTCCTCAGGAAACTATAAACATCCCTAGGTAGGCTGTCTTTCATATACATTGATGACAACTACCAAAATCAATGTGATTTGGACAATAATTTTGATGCCCAACATTTGTAGCAGACCACACTGGCACTAGAGCTAATGAAGCACAGATTAGCAGGCTAGTTACTGTTTTCATTCTGAAAACTGACAAATATGCATTGTGCATAATTTAGACTCAGTAGCTATTACCAAAATAATAGCCATTGAGAAGTGTAGGTTACCTACATGAGACAGAGCTAAACCATAATTCAGCACTACTACTGCTGGTAGAGACAGTGAGGAAATAATGTAGAAAGTTCATTCTATCTTTGTAGAGAACAGTAGAACAGTGATAAGAGCTGTCAAGAACCCAGAGTATCACATTAACCTTGTGTTATGAATTAAAAACTGATGGTCAACTTAATTAAGTCAGCATGGTGTTCAGTGTACATGTTACATCTGAGGAAGGTTGCCAATATAAATAGAGACGTGGAGAAGAGGAGTGGGGCATTGTGGTTCTCCTATGTGTTGCTGTTTAAGCCATTAGTTCTCCTGGAGGAGCTCTGGTCCTTACAATGAGCATTGCTTCCTGGCTCTGGAGGGGAAAGATGTGTGCCATTTAATCCCCAGGACAAACTCGTCATGCTGGCCTCCTGGCATGTACTCGACTATGCTTATCGTCGGAGGAGCTCGGGGCCTCCATGTCACTGAGGATGGCTGTGGTGCTTTTCAGGACAGCCCTGGTCTTTGTTTTAAGCATGACTTCTCGGCTCCAGCATAGAACCCTCAACCTACCAGCACAGCTCCTTTACTCCACTGGCACAGACTTTCTCTCTTCCACCACTGACCTTTGGGCCTTTCTAGCACTGACCCACAAAAGAGACTGACGTGAGTCCTTCTTGTGGGCTCTAGACCTCCAGCTGGACTTGTGAGACGCATTGTCATGAGCTCTGGGTCTTCATATGGACTTATGTGGGACAGTGCTGTGGGATTCAGGCCATTGGCTGAATATTCTGTCTTTAGTGTTGTGGACAGATTTCCTGTACTTTCTTCTGTTAACTCTGGGTGACCATCATAAAATAATAGTGTAAATTCTGGGTCCTAATTCTAATTGTTCTCCTCACAACTCCTGACTGTAACACCTTACCTTCTTTTCTCATTTAGTCCTCCTTCCTCATTAACATAATTTGAAAGGAGAATGTAAAGGAAGGCAAGACCCCAGACCCTTAAAGAGCTGACACTGTAACAAGACCAGTCGAAGTTTGTGTGAAGGCTTGGAAGGCTGTACCCAAAAGTCCAGGAGAACATGGTGTTCCAAGACACCCAAATGTTAAATATTTATAGATAGAGCTCATAACAGTCCACAAAGACTCTTGAAAAAGAGGGGCAATCTGGCTTGAACGGAGGCAAATCGTGATGTTTATATTAAGTGGAAGTTAAAAAGGTTTTATTCAAGTTTGCTTTAAAAGTGAAGATTCTAAATGGCTATTCTTGGTTTTAAGTTAAGCCAAATTTTGTCATTTTAATGATACATTTTAGGAAATAGGAATAAAATGAGCAAAAAGAGGTCTTTGGTCACTATAAACATAAGCGGGGTTGTGATGGCTGAACATGGTTTACTCTGCCAGAATCTCCCCCAAATATTTTAATTCTCTGTGTGTTTGAGTGTCTGTCTGGGTGGTCTGAGCTCACTGAGAGGCCTCTGGAAAGACACAGGCCCTCCTTGTTTCTCAGGACTCTCAGCAATTGTGCACCAGCTATATTGCATGGGCAACATAATCACCAGATAAACCTTAGAGATACTGCCGAGTAATTACTTTAAAACAGTCCAATTAGTTTCAGTCTCACATTTAGTTAAAATCACACCCTTACAAAGGCCGTGTGAAAAACACCAAAGTACTTGGACTGGTATCTGACACACAGTTCTCCAAAAGTCACCAAGCCCCAGAAGCTGAAGGCACTAATTCCTTCTTCCATACCATGGTATTATGTGGGGCTCCACCCACCAGAGCGCTGCAGCCAGGTCAGCCCAGGAGCTAACAGCACTATGGAGGGACAGTTAATGAACAGAGAGCTCCACTGAATAAAATTTACCTTGCACTGTTCTACAGATAGACCCACTTTTGAGCACCACTCCAGATCAGAGAGGGCGAGGATTTGCCCAGCCTGCCAAGGCATCAGCATTGTCATTGACCTCTGCTACAGAATTACTTCCGGGCTTCACATCTTTCCAGCTTCATCTCCATATCTCCAGCTTTTTCTCATCACATCGTTCACCAGGGCACGGAAAGCATGTCCATTCCCCTATGGAACTGTTTCATGTTTGGCTTCAGTTTCTCACCCTTTTTTAAGACTTCTGTTTTCTCTGATGAGTCACCCTTGCACATTTGAAGTCTTGTTTTCTATTCTCTTGAGAAAGAGAGGTTCTTTCCCATGGGGTTCCCTCATAAGGAATCCTTTTTCCATATCAAAGGCTGGAGGACAAGACATGATTTCTAACAGTCTCCCCAGGTTCCCTCTTTGCCAGGACATGTGACATGGTGATAAAAAGTAGCAGAACACTGTTTGCACAGCAGTATGGCTTCTGCCAGAATATTTTCACATGGACATGGGTTTTCATACGGTTTGAATTACTTTTAATGGGATATTCTAAAGTAACTTTTTTTCGTATTTTCAAAGCCCTCAGAGAAACCATTGACACATAAAGCAAAGAAGAATTAATAAAATTAAAAAGAATTCTATTCTTGTTTGTTTTGGAAAAAAATTGTTATTGACTTAAAGCATGCATTTTTGAAAGTATCAGTAGAGAAAAAGCTTTTGAGCCTGGGTCCCTTGTATAAAATGATCATCAATAGAATTTAAGTAAACTCTTTTCATATTCAGGGAACTGGTATAGAAGCTAAAATGTAGACTCCAGATGCAGGCAGAAATTCACACCCTAAAATGTACTTGAGAAACTAGTGATCTTAATGAAGCTTAATTGTTTAATTATAAACTTCAGCTAAAGAATACAAAAGAGACTGGTTTGTCATTTGCTGGTGGGTAATTCAGAATTTGATCAGAAGGAGATAGGGGCTGAATATGATGCCCTTCCTTTCTTCCAATTTCTTTCTTTATATTTACTTATAGTTGATAGTGATTATTTTCCTAGCATAGGACTCTATTTCAGAACTATGGAACTAATATGGCCAGTCCAACTTCTAGTTATTAACCCTATCACAAGAAGATTTTTTAAATGAAAAGGCACTGTAATCACCAAGCAATTCCAATCTCCTAATTGCCGTTACCTCACCTGGAGAGGCAGAGGGGTAAAGAGTATTCCTGGGATAGATTACTCTGGCTTTTCCTGCATGCCATCTAGGAGTAGTTCTGGCTCTTACTTCCTTGGGGACTCCTCTATGGAATTTTTACCCAAACATTTTCCAGGTCCTGGGACACATTTTCTTTCCAGGACAATTTCTCAGTTATGTATTGGTCTTTCTAACTTGCTATGAAATCTAAAACCATAACAAAGGTGAGGAACTAATCTTTGGTTTCCTTCATTTCTTCATCATCATTTCTTTGTCTTTTTCTCCTGGAAAAACGATCTTTGTTATCCATATTCTTAAACAGTCTCTCTCTTTTTAATATCCACAACCCTGTGTCTACATCATAAAATTTTCTATAACCTAAATTCAAAATCAGTGGACACAGCCCCAAGCCAGCCTAGTACTTACTCAGGTCAATTCTTATACATAAACTGGAGACGTCCTGACCAGCAAAACTGCATGGCAACTGACACTGTTGAGTCTTTTCCTCTGCAGAGTATTGCCTGAAAAGGGTGTTCCAGCTCTGATATTCCAGTCACAAGCTTAGTTTAAAAACACTTGTCTTGACTTGTTTTGCTACTCTATTGCATTATCTTTGGATTCCTGCAATAATCATCCATTTTACATATTCTCTATTCTGATCTCCTGTCAGTTTATTAGAACTGATGCATGTACCGTCTCCCGTGATACTGCAATGGACCCTGATGGTTGGTTCTTCCTCCACCATGCTGCCTGAGTCATATCCACCTTGTTTCTTCTATAGCCTGGGACTTTCTCAGGTTAGTGTCATTTTCTGGGCCTAACAGATTTTCCCTTGACCTAGCAAATGAAACTTGGAGTTAAAAAAAAAAAAGATTACACATTTATAAAAAGGCAGTTGGGTCTCTTGTATTTAGCATAATCTAGATTACATAATTGGTCAGCATATTCATCAGCTTTCCTGTCACTGGAACACAACATCTAACATCCACAACTTAAAGGAGGAGATTATTAATTTGAGTCATGGTCCAAGGGATTCAGTCCATGTTTGATTAGCTCCAAGGTAAAAATATCATGGCAGAGGGTGTGGTGGCACAAAGCTGCTTAGTTCATTGTAACTGAAAAGCAGAGCAGGGGAACATCACTGGGGAGGAAGGGGAAAGGGACCAGATACAGTACCCATGGTCAGCCTCCATGATTCACCCAAACACATGCAGAAATGTGCTGTCCTAATCTCCTCCACAGCTCCTAAGACAACTGAGTTGACAAGATTAAGCTTAACTACCACAGTCATATAATTATAAAACTCGCTGGGTGCAGAAATACTGGGCTCACCTGAGAGTGAGCAGCCTTCCAGCAGCACGTACTTGGCCACTAGGAGGTAAGAAACAGTGTTCTGTGCAAAGGTAACCACAAGTTAAGCTGGGAAGTTGGTTAAGTGGAGGCCAGCTTATAAAGCCACTGTTTCATTTTTCTTATCATACCCACCAAGATTTAATTGTTCCCTTAAAGAAAAAAAAGAAGAAAGAAGAAAAGAAAAAGTAAGACATCTGTCAAACAATCAAACTTAAATGTGTAGCATTCCCAAGGGTGGCAAGTTCAGGAAAGTGACTCCTGCAAAAACTGTATTCCAATTACTCATGACATTTATGAACATTTTATGAAACATTTTATGAACAGAACATTTTATGAAAATCAACAGTGACCTTGGCTGATGCATTTTGTAGAATGCAGAAGATACTAGGCACGAATAATTCAAACTCAAATACCAAAGCAGATGGAACAATAGAAATCAGAGTACTAGGATATAATTCAGCAATAGTGTGATTGGACTAATAGACACACATAATTGCAGCTTGTTCTGTTATTTGCTCATCTATTTGAAATCTTGGAAAGGACTGCACCACAGAGTAAGGTGGCTTTGAAACACTAAACTGTTTCCTGTTTTTGCTTGAACAGGGCCGGCCACAGCGTGTTTAAACAAGGCTGTTTGTGCCTCCACTCTAGTGTGGTTTCACCAGCAAGTGTGGACAAGGATACTTTTTAAAAACCAAAAGAATTGCCACCAAACCAGGAAATCAATTACTAAATCTATCTGGTTTTCATTTTTTAAAAATCCTCTACTCATGCCCCTGGATTTAGCTCAGTGGCCTAAGCGCTTCCTGTCAAGCACAAGCACAAGGTTGTGAGTTTGATCCTTAGTACTAAAAAAAAAAATCCTCTGCTCATACTTAGTAAATCTGTATAAAAATCTTTTTTGTCACAAACATACTTAATTCTAAGGCTTTGCTATGGGAATGCTCAGACCTATAATCAAAGCATCAAATGATAGCTCCTTCCTTTCCTGCATTGACCTGCTTCGCTGGCCAGTCAACAAAGGTGTTTTGGGGGAGCATCTCCAGAGGAACCTGAAGCCCCAGAAGTAAAGGTAGACTGCTAAAAATAATCTTTCACTGTGTGAAGGACATTTACTTCTCAGGGGGCTTGCCTTGGGAGTTTTGTTTTTTTAATAAAGAAGAAGGAAAAGAAGAAAAATAATGGAGTGAGTTAGGCAGAAAGCCAAATTCATTGGCATTTGTGTGATTATAACTACCAAGAAGTATATATAAATCATATACATAGATATGCCACTCTCTTCCTCTACTCCTGAACTATAACTAGATTACTTATTTCTTGAGAACAACTGTCTTCTCCTTCTTTGTCTCCAGGTATCAGTTTTAACCAAAATTTTTTATAACACTCCACAAAGTAGCAGCTGCTAAATCAATGTAGGATAGTGTAGTACATAAGAGTAGGGGTTGTTTACAGGTAAATGGAGGCAACTTGAGACTATCCTCATAAGTGAAATAAATCAGACTCACATTTGTAAATATCCTATTGTTTTTCTAGTATTAAAAAATAATAATAATAAACTGAAAGAGTAATGGCATGGTTTATGTGAGTGGCCCCCAAACCTCATGAATTATGGTTTTGATCAAATCTAGCATTTGTGCTTGGTTCATTGTCTAGTGCTCGGTGTGAGTGCTACACCCGTCTAGGGATGGAGCCAGAATACTATGTAATGGCGGGAAGAAGGTGTGTGCGTGTGTGCCTCTCTGTTACCAGTCTCCACCTTGCTGTTTGTGGCTGCCATGAACTGCGGCTCTGCTATGCCATGCTGCCTTGGAGCCAACTGAATATGGACTGAAACCTCCAAAACTGTAAGAAATAAACTTTTCCTTCTTTAATGTTGGGCATCGGATATTTTGTCTCAGCAAGGAGAGTGAAAAGTAACTAAGACAACTAATAAGATCCAAAATGTATAATAGATATAGTAATAATGAAAGGGAAAGTGCTCTAAAGGATGTAACTGTATGTATGTTTAAGTATGCAAGATGGATAACCATACTACTAAGTTTTTGTTAGTTCATCAAACAGAATGGTTTGTACTGTCATTGTTTGACTGCCCACTTTTTATGCTTTGATTTTGTGACTTGAGCAACTACTTCTAAGATAACAACATGTATTTTATCAAATAGTGATTTCTTACTGTTATTTTTTAACTAGTCATTTCTTATTTTTTAATTCTGTATTATTTCTACCCTTTTTTTCTGTTTTGCTTTTTTCCTCTAAATTAAAAAAAAAAAGAGTAGAGGTTGTGAGCAGATTCCCTGAATTCAAATCTTAACCCCACCACTACCTTGAGCACAGCTCATAACCCTTCTGCATGTAACATCCTTAAGTGAATGTAGAGCTCTCCAAGGAGATGATTAATGTGTAGCAAACACCTGAAAAACATTGACCCTTGGCTGCAATTTGCTCCCCTTTGTATATGAGGAACCTAATTCCTAGAAGGAAAGTCTGCAAAATAGAAATGGAAGCACAGGTTCTGGTTAGTAGGATGGTATTAGAGCATGAATCATCTGGAGCCATTAAAGTGATGTCCCCAGAAATAGTAAATAGGAGAGGTGAGTAATATGCCTATAAACTATAAACCCAAGGGAGACCCTGTGAGTCCACTGGTATCTTCATGAAAGAAAATATTGTGACATAAAAAACAAGAAACCTAAATTATACCTAGTTCTTCCCTTGACTAGATTTATGGCACTATCATTTTCCCTTTTCTTCACATGAGAGCTTTAATATATATACAATGAGAACACTGACCCAGCAGTGCTGTCTAATGCTGTGATGAGTACATCCTAAGTCTGCATATGTAGTTGTTGAGAGCTTAAACTGTGGTGAACACAACTGAGGAGATATATTTTTACTTCAGATCAGTTTTTTTTTTGTTTGTGTGTGTGTGTGTGTGTGTGTGTGTGTGTGTGTGTGTGTGTGTTTAAGACACAGACTTGCTATGTAGTCCAGGCTGGCCTGAAGTCACTATGCAGCCCAGGCTGGCCTCAAAATCGAGACAATATTCCTGCCTTTGTCTGCTGCCAGAGTGCTGGGATTACAGGTTTGTGCTACTATGCCTGCTTTAATTGTTTTTAATCAATTTATGCTTAAATATCCAGGGCCACCTATGGTCAGTATTTACTGTACAGACAGAATCTTTTCTAAGACATTTTAGTTCTAGTACTTAGTCATTCAGGGACTTTCCAGGTAAAAAAATGTGGAAAATAGATGTTGTTAAAGTGAATGGTAAGAGTTTATTTGTCCCTAGGGTCTATGTCATTCAGAAGGCAACTAAAAACAAAAATGTAAAAAGAGAAAAAAAACTTGGTCTTCAGAAATTAAGGGTGATCCTGCCTAAGGAGTACTCTAACAAGCCCCAGTGATAGTTTTCAAATCTTTGAATGACTCAGATTTGCAGGTTTCACATTTTGCAAAGCAATAGCCAGAAACAGACAGTTTTTAGTACCTATGCTGGATTAACTCATTTAATCACAACAACATCATGACATAGGTGTATTATTGGTCCTGATTTACAGATGAAGAAAGGAAGGAAATGTTAAATAACTTGTTTTCAGGCCATACAGCTAGAAAGAATGAGCCAAGGTCTGAACACATATGATGAGGTCTGGAATTTTACTTTGTAAAAGGGAAAATAAACATTTTAATAAATAGTAACATACATACCAAGTAGTGATAAATTCAAGACCATACCATGTCCCTATTCAGTCACTACTCACCACGACCCAATGAAGGAAAGCTATACATAAGAAAGGCTTGTACTTAATCACTATGTTGTGTATTCCTGAATACACTATTAGATCTCATTCTTATGACCAAAGGAAAAAACAGACAATATAACAAGAGCAACAACCATGTACTTGGTAGTTTCAAATCTACAAGTAAAAATGTGTAATTCATAGACAAGAGAGCTATTCATTCAGGTAGAACATATTTATTGAGCATCTATATGATAAGCAGTATATTAAGGCACTGGATATTTAATGTTCATCAAAACAGAGTTCTTGCCTCATGCTGTTCTTAATCTTTGATCTAGCTCATCAGCCAATAAGTGTCTTAGAGCATGGAGGAGGCTTACTCAATGGTCTTTCTGCTGGTCACCACACAGGCTTGGCAGTAGAGCTGATGGTAATGCTGGCATCCCAGACAAGAGCTGGCCTAGAGCTGGTCCTTAGAATTTTAGCAAGCTCTCCTTGGAGTCTCCTGGAATTTTGGAAAAATGACAATTAGAACTCATTGCATGGCTTCCACTAAAAATAACTTTATAAACAATTTCTAAATACTGTCTTTAAAAGCAACAATTTAAGAAAAGTCTACATGCTGAATGTAACTAGAGTGATTACAACATGAGATGAGAAATGTGGAGATATTGCATGGTTGAGAAAAAAAAAGAAAAATGTCACCAGGGATCTCTACCCTAACTAATGAGGAATGGTTGCTCTCTACCAACAAGCAACTGAGCAGTTCTCACACATACTTTTTCCAGAGGGAGATAATGCAAGACAGCAGAGAACCCAGAGGTATTTCCAAACATATTCTGGGATATCCAACCACAAAGAACTAATGGCAGTAAAAATCAGCTTCCATGTGCTACTGAGAATTGAGCTGCTTCTGTCACCATGACCCAGACATGCCTAAGCAAATCTGGGGAGGCTTCAGGAACTTTTTAGTGGCTCAGGGAGAATATGGAAAGAAATCAAGACTTAAATGCACCCATATTTTGCTTTTTCCAGAGTTGATTTGATCTCCACTCTTGAAACTTACATGCTAAACTGGGTGTGGTGGCTCATGCCTGTAACTCAGCACTTGGAAAGCTGAGGCAGGAGGATTGTTGCAAGTTCGAGACCTTTGGGCTACAAAGTAAGCCCAAGGGTAGCAATTGCATAGCAAGACCCTGTCTCAAAAAGACAAAAAAAAAAAAAAAAAAGACAAAGTTACATTGTAGTCATTTATTGTAGACAATGAAACAAATGTGATACACTGTTTTACATGTGAAACAGAATAAATTGATATCAAATCTGTAAAGCAAGAGACAAACATGGCATAGCATTTACATATATTTGCTTAACATTATCTACATGCTAATATGACCCTTGGGAATTGTGCAAACCTATGAACACAGCATAAGGTCAGCTGTTTCGGTGTTGTTGAGGTTTATTTTGATGCTGAGAAAATAGCAATGCCAGCCCTGCAGGAATCGTGCCATTACTGTGTTTTCTTATCCAAACTCGGTTCTCACACTAGCTAGAGCTCTTGTATCTACTGTACAATGAAAACATACTGTGGGAACAACTGAAATTACATCTCAGGGGAAGAGAGAGAGTACATTTCTCTTGTTACCAACTCCATACCACTCTTCAGTCAGTCTCACCCACCCTAATGGAGCACAAGCAGCCTGGCCTATTGTAAACAGTGACTGGAGTGAGCAATAAACAGGACTTCTAACCTTAGAGATCTGGTGGGGGTTGTGCAAAGTGCTTGCAGGGAAATCCACATCCGGAGAGGGCAGCAAGTGTGTAATGAACTGCAACAGTGCCCTGGGTTTTTCCTGAAAATGAACAACAGACAGGCTCCTGGGAGCTTTGCAACTTCACTGAGGAGCAGCCAGGCTTAAGTAAAGAATTCTGCATAGCTCAGAAAGTTCTGACTCGATGAAAAATCTGAGCAAGAAAAGAACTTGGCTTCCAAGCGGAAAGGTCTGGACATCTAATCCATGGCTCCAAGTCTTTTCTCTCTGTGACCTCAGTTTGAGTTCAGTGAGGCCTGGCAATCTTCCCATTCAGGTCTTAGGCCTTACCCAACAATTGTACAAAACTCAATGCTTAGCCTGTAGACTACGTGAAGTATACCCACGGCTACTTGGTAGGAAGCAAAGATCTATGGAAAGCCTGGTGTCTTTGAGTCCTCGTGCTGCTGATTGGGAGGACTGCTAAGTCAGACAATGATTGTTGTCTCTGTGGCTGAAGGAGCCAGCTGCAAATGTGTGTCTGCTTGGTTTTCTCTCACTGTCACGTGGTTTTCCCTTTGCCCTTCACCCTGCCTTTTTCTTCAAGGGACTAAAGGCTAGATACTTCTGTTCATTCATTCTTTTATTTATCCTTCCCTCAGAAAATACTTATTGAGCACGTTTTGGGTGTCAGGCATAGTTTGAAGTGCTGGTGATAGAGCAGCATATAAGACAGTTAAAATCACTCCCGTTGTGGAGCTTACATTCTAATAAAGGAGAAAGAAAAAACCCACATACATAAGTAAATGTATAATTGTTGGACAGTGATAAGCAGAATGCAGAAAAATAAGGCAAACTATAAAGACAGAGAATCCCTAGTGTTAGACAGGATAGTCAGAGACAGTCACGTTATGGAGATGGCATTAGAGCCCAGACCTAATGATATGACAAGACCATGTCAACACGGCAGAAGAATGGTCCAGCTAGCGGAGAGTGTGAGCCCAAAGGCTTGGATGCTTTTCATGCAGGAGGAACAAGAATACAAGTGTCCTTATGAGACAGAAGTCAGGGTGGGGAATGAATAATAAAAGATAAGATCACCAAGGTAGACAGGTGCCTGACTCTGCAGATCTTGGATACAGACGTTGAATTTTATTTGGAGTATATTTGAATATGGTCAGCATGAGATCTTTATTGCAAAACTCTGTGGCTCTTGTCCTCACTCCATCATAGAACGAGACTGAAAACCAAACTTCTAATCAAAGAACATACTGCTAGAGAGGAGTAGGAGAAGTCCTGGAGATCACACGTATTCCAGTGTAACAAAGTTCACCTCTGACTGCAAACTCAGGAGGATTCTTTGGCACCATACTATCTTCTCTGCACTCTCTCTTTAGAATGACTCAGTTGCTCTTGCTAGGAGAAATGATGAGCACCTCGACTGGCTGCAGGCTCCTCCTTCTCAGGCACCGTCAGTAGCCTGAACCTCCTCCCTCTTCTATCACCTGCCTCTCCCTGCGTGCAGCTGAGGCACCTGTCATGGTGAATTATGCATCCTCTTCAAATGTACTACTTCTTATGCCAGAAATGTGTCATTTGCCTATAGCGACAATCTCTGCCTTGTATGCCTGACTAAATACCCACTCATTCTTCAAGGCTCCTCCTCTGGGAAGGATATACGACACTATACTGTATTTCTGTTTATATGTATCATACTGCATTAAAGTAGAGAGAGATGACCGTGAATAGAAATAAACAATCCATACTAGAGGAGAAATGTTACAATTTCAAGAGACATTTTTCTTAGTTTTGGGGATGGGAGAGGTACTACAGCCCTGCTATAGAAGAAGTAGATGACTGCAAAACGAACATGCGTTCAAGTGACCCTTTAACAGGCAGAAACAGACTAGCATGCGAAAGGAATTCTCAAGGAGTGGAGGAAACTGGGTTATACACTCAGGCATAGTCTGAGATGCTTCAACTCCATAGGAGCTAAGAGGGAGCTGGCCCAGGAAGCCAATGTGCATCTGAATTCCTGTGCCATTTCTATCACTGATGAGAGGGAATTGGAGAAAAAAGCAGAGTTTCTGTTCAACTTGAACAATGATGGCAGGGAGGGCTGCTCTGTCAATGATCAAGGCTCAGAGAAAGGTGAGGCACACAGCTACACATGAGTTAACAGTTCATTAAATCATGTGCTTCCACCGAAGAATGAGGAACCGCTGCAGCCTTTGCTCAAAAAGAAAGCAAAGTCAGTCTGACAAGTGATAGTTTGTGCTTCCAATCAAAGCTGATGAGATCACAAGAACAAATGATTTCTGATCTTTCCATTGATTCCATTTATTAGCCAGAAACATCATAATTATTATTTTGATAACTGGAAGAAGAGGTGGATTTTGAGTCTGGGTTATACCATCTTTTGACTATGTGTCACCCTACAAGTCACTGAACCATCTCAAATTCAGTATTCTCACCTCTAAGTGGAATACAGTGATAGTAAACTTGTGTATTACTGTGATAATTAAATGAAATAATGTATGTAAAGTCACTGTGTCAGTATAAAGCATTTTTAAATATAAGTAACTTTAAAATATATTTCAAGTAGAGTTACAATGAGAAAAGCAATGTGTTTACAACTTGTTTACTTTGTCATTACTAAAGAATATAACCAAGTTCAGTGTAGAAACATTAAGCTTTATACAAGTATGTGTATTCTAATCAACATATGTGAAAATTGTTGAGGTGTTTAATGTCAGTTTATCATAGTTGTGACAAATGAAAAAATCCTGGGAAGGAGTATGAAACCTATAAAAATAACGAGTAGTTTTTATAATTCATTAGCTTTTACGTTTTGAGACCCAAACACACCTCAAAACGTTGGTCCTTTATGCCCACCTCGAAGTGGTAAAATCATTTGGCCAGAAGCAAGGACTTTTTAGGCATAATGAGGACAGAAACTATAAATATAAGGATACATGTTGGGAGCCGCAGCCCCGAGCCCGGTCGCCTTACTTGGCGGACGTGAGGCCTGTAGGAAAGAGCAAAGCCTGAGCTAGATTACCCCTCCCATCGAGTGTGCTAAGATGGCGCTTATCTCCTGCTTGGTAAACAACCCGCCCTGTAAGATCTCCTGCTTCCTGCTTGGTAAACAACCCGCCCTGTAAGATCTCCTGCTTCACAACCCGCCCTGTAAGATAGTCTGCCTAGCAACAACTGAACCCTATAAAAGTGAGTGCCTCTCCCGCCAAGAAAAGAAGAAGAAGCAAAAGAAGCAGAAGAAGCACGCAAGGAGCCGCGGAGAGCGGACCGGTAGAGGCTTCGGGACAGACTGTAGGGAGAAGCACGCAAGGAGCCGCGGGGAGCGGACCAACAGAGGCTTCGGCCGGGAGGATTCCCGGGGCAGGCTGTACAGAGAAGGAAAATAAAAGAAAAGGTTGTCCACTGCCAGACTTTGTTGTGTGTCCTTCCTGCCGGCCGGGAGTGACATCGACAGATACATTTGATGACACAAAAATTCTGAGTCTCAGGAGAGTTAGCACCAAGCAAATAAATTTTAAATCACAGTTGAAAGGCTATACACTAGGATAAAACGTAACATATGGAAAAGTTTACATGTTGAATTTATGAATTTGTAATTTTCAACAAAAATCATAATTCAGTGAAAGAAAACATTCAATGATAACAAATAAGAGACACAATGAATAAGACAGAATGCTTAATCTCCCTAGTAATTAAAGGAAAGCAAACTAAAACAAGATACTATATTTTACTTATCAGATTGGCAAAGACTGAAAAGAATGCTAATATCCCTTGTTGGCAAGGGTATAGGAAATGGGCATTCTTATAAACTGTTGGTGGGAATTAATTTTAGTACAACTTTTCTGGAAAGAAATCTGGCAAACACTTGTAAAAATTTAAAACATGCAAACTCTTTGATACAACCATTCCACATCTAGAAATTTATTCTAAAGAAATCATAAGAAAAACATGCAAGATGTTTCTATAAAGTTATTTCTCATGGAGTTCTTTATTACAGAAAAGTGAAAGTACCTTATGTATTTGCATAAATGAATAAATATGTACACAATGGATTATTAAAAACAGTTTTGTACACATAATTATACACATGAAGAAATGTCTGTAATGAAACAATGACAATAAGCATCATTTTGGTTATTGTTGGTATATGGGATTAGTAATAGTGTTCCATTATAATTTTCTCAATTGTTTTGTTAATATTTTCATCATAGTAAGCATATGATAACTATACGTTAAAAGATGTTTCCAAAATGGTTATCTCTAGAAGAAGCAATGACTATTTTATAATAATTGTTTTATATCACAATCTTTTTAAGTGTGACCTATCTTTTTCTTGGCAGATTCCAACTTAAACATATTCTAGAATATTCCAACATAACATTCTCTTTAAGCAAGCTTAATTTGCCATGAGCTGATATGCTGGCATCAAAGCTGAAATAAAAACTTAACAGACCATCTACCCAATTCCAAGTCCTTTGCTAGGAATCTATAATTTCCACTAGGACAATTCTGAACTTTAATCAAAGAACTTGATTGCAGTGAATATCCTTTGCACACAAGGCTGCTAGTTTCTTTTCTGGTTTTTGCCTGCTTCTTTCTTGCTGATCAAGGGTCCAGACCTGGTGTTATTTTATTTAAAACAAGAATGTAAGTCCATTTAAGAAAATCATTCAACACAGTGAAAAATTTATTCAAGACTAGAGAGATTAATTGAAGAGAAAACAAAGCATACCATTTGAACATTCAGGTCTAGAACAGGACAGCATAGATTTAAAGTTTGGTTTTACTTAGTGGTTCTATGACTGTGGTAAATAACCCTTAAGCTTTTTTTTTATCTTGTATAAAATGAGGATGTTATACTCTTCATAGGGTTATTGTTAAGGTCAAAAAATAAATCACAAGTGAAGCATCTAGCACAATGCCTGACACTCAAGTGCTAGTCATTATTTTTACCATTTGTCTTAATTATCTGTTGTGTAATTATTCTAGTTTCTGCAGGTCAGGAATCTGGTGGTGGTTTAGCTGGGTGCGCTGGCTCTGGATCTCTCACAAGGTTGCAATCAAGTTGTCAGCAATGACTGCAGTCATTTTGTGGGTAAACTAAACTCTTTCAAATGGTTACTAACAAGAGTCTGTTTGTGAGCTGCTGGACTGAGGGTCTTAGTCCATCAGAAAGGTAACCTTAGGTCTTGAGCCAGCTAGGTCTTTCTGTATGGAGGTCCACCTCATGGCAGCTTGCGTCATCAGAATGAACACCTGGGAGTGCCACCAGGAGAGGAGTGCAAGAGATGGAGACTGTGGGCTTGTTTAACACAATCCCAGAAATGACATCACGTTACTTTGCCCAATTCTATTCCTTATTAGTAAACCCCTAGTCTCAGCCCACACACAACAGGAAGCGTTACACAAGAAACTGAATACAAAGAAGTAGGGATTATGAAGAGCCATTTTCAAACTATAGTCAGGCCCCACTTGAATGAGTTCCATTCTGGAATAATGTTTGTAAGTTGAATTTGTTTGTGTTCCTCCAAGTATACCGTAAACAGTATACCCATGGAACATCTCACAACTCAAAGGTTCATGAGTTGGGGACTTATTCTACACTATCATATCATTATCCAAGCTTTTCCAGGAAAATACTAACTTTAAAGAACTATATTGTGATAGTTAACTGTTGATAGTCAACTTGAGAAGAAACGTGCAACTGATGGGCTTAGTATGATTCTGAATATGACTGAATGAGTTTATAAAAAAGGAAAGACACATCCTGGGTATAAGTGCCACCAACCAATAGGCTTGCAGCCTCAATGGATTAAAAACGATAATGAAGAAGGAAGACTCACTTCTGTTTCTTCAGAGGAGCTCCAGTCTTTGCCATCATTTTGGGTGCCCATGTGCTGCCTTCCATTTGGCCTCCTAATACAGACTCACTGGGACTCTGAGTTCTGGGCATTTGACTTTTAAAAAAAATTATTTAAAGAAAGAAAGAAAAGAACAAAGCAAAACAGAAAAAAAAAACAAGAAAAAAGTAGAATACAGAATTTTTAAAAAGATTAACATCATAAAATCACTAGTTGATACATTACATATTGTCATCTTAACGATAGTTGTTAAAGTTACAAAATCTAAGCATAAAAAGTGGCTAGATGCTCAAACACTGGCAGTGCAAACTCTTCTGTTCAATGATCTAACAGAAATTTCGTAATATGAACATTAATCTTACACACTATATATGTGGTTATATCCTTTAGAGCACTTTCCTTCCCTTTCACTTTCACGATATTTATTATACTTTTACATCTATTATATTTTCATATCTATTATACTTTTTAGATACCATTATTCTGCTGGTTATTATTATTTTTTACACTAGAGAAACAATTTGATATTTACTAATGTGAGTCTTATTTATTTCATTAATGAGGATATTCTCAAGTTGCCTCCATTTACCAATAAAGGCCTTAAGATCATCCTTTTTATAACTGAATAATATTCCATTGTATAAAAATACCACAATTTTTTCATCCACTCTGTGGTTGATGGACATTTTGGTTGTTTCCAAGATTTGGCTATCACAAATTGTGCTGCTATTAACATGGGTGCACATATATCACTGTGACATGACCTTTTCAATTTTTCTGGGAAAATACCCAGGAGGGGAATAGCTAGGTTGAATGGAACTTCCAATCCTAGTTTTTGAGGAATCTCCATACTGCTTTCCACAGTGGTTGCATCAGTCTGCACTCCCACTAACAGTAAATGTTCCTTTTGCCCCAAAGCCTCGCCAACATTTGTTACCAGTTGTTTTCTTGATGGCAGCCATTCTTTCTGGAGTGAGATGAAATCTCAATGCTGTTTTAATTTGCTTTTCTTGAATGACCAGTGATGGTGAACATTTCTTCATATATTTATTTGGGTATTTGACTTTTGACTGGAACCTTTGGATCTGCAGCATGAGATAGCCCTCTTCCACACCTGACCTGATTCTGCAAAGCCACTATAAGTTTAAAGTGTAGATAGATGAGAGAGAGAGAGAGAGAGAGAGAGAGAGAGAGAGAGAGAGAGATTTGTAAACTTTTATAAGCCTAGACAAATGGCAAAGGGTCCATTTGAAGCCAGTGAGTTATTACTTTGAATTATGATTCATTTGACATGGAAATGAGTTCACAGGGAAATACTACCATAAGGGAAGGAAGGGATGCTAAAAGAAATCTTCTCTGGTACTTATATGGCAAAAACAATAGATATTCTGATTTTTCCTCAAATGTAACCCAATACGTTCTACTTTGAATATGTGCCTTTTTCAACTTTTAAGAGTTGGACATCTTCCAGGCTCTCAGAGTTACCCTTCTCTGAGAGCAAAAGAATATAGACCCATATTTGGGGTCCATCAAAGCCACTCTAGCCTCTTACTTTTGGTGGTTCTTAACCATCCTGAGGCTTTATTTCACTGTAAGCTGTGAGTATCACAATTTTCTTCACTCCTCAGAACACCAGAGAGATTTTCTGTTACTTGGCTTCAGAAGAAATTTAGTTGGTCCCGTGTGTATTAGTCTGTTTGCCATTAGTATTGTTAAAATTTCTGAAGCTAGTAAGGTATATAGAAAAGAGGTTCATTTAGCTTAGTTTTGAAAGATCAAGAGCATAACACTTACATTTGCTTCTGACAATGTTCTTTTCTACTATATCATACCAAGGTGGGTGGTATCAAGGTTACAGCAAGTATAAGAAGATATCACATGGTGATACAAGAAGGCATAGAGTGAACAGAGGGTTGTTTTGCTGTTTTACAACAACCCTCTTTCACAGGAACTAATGAAGGACCCAAAAGACTTTCCAAGGTCACTGCCTTAAATGACCTCACTATATTCCACCAAGGTTCACTTTTTAAAGTCACACCCACTTCTTAACATAGCCATGCTAAGAACCAAGTTTCCATGCATGAACCTTTGGGGAACACATTCAAATCACAGAATTTTTCTGTCCCTGGACCCCCAAAGTACCTGTTTTCATACTGAACAAAAATAAACAAAAATCATTCCATCTCTATGTGTCCCAACATCTTAACGCATTCCAATACCACCCAAAGGTCATCTGAGACTCAAGGCAAACTCTTTCCAGATATGAGTTTGTAAAAATCAAGAAATAAGTTTTCCTTCTAAAAAAAACCACTGGGATAAGAATTTATGTGGGGAAATCAGGGAAGCAGAAATGAGAAATATACCCAAAATAAGCAGACACACATTCATATGCACACAAACACATGCAATATATAAATCATTAAAAGAATGTATATACAATACTCAAGAGTTCACAAAAGATTACAGAAATATTAAATACACATCAATTCTAAATTAATATCATTTCCTTTAAAATAATACTTATAATAATATTTATTCCCCTAAAACCTTCCTTTTTTTGAAATTGCTAGAGTTAATTTATTAAATGAAACATACTGACAGGTAAAATGGAACTAATTATTTTATAATTACTACTTTCATTAAGAAAGTTTACAATCAAAACCACCCTTAAAAATGATGATTCTTCATACCTGAGATTACTTTTAACAATTCACAAAGTGTAATTTTTAAAATGTATGTAAATAATGGTAGCATGATAGAAAGAAATGACAAGCCTCCCAAGCAGCTCTTTGAAAGAAATGATAGCTATCTTTGATAAGAACATTTCTGTTAACAAACAGAAAAGGAAATATTATATTATTATAATTCCCCTGACACTTGAATGTAAATGCACATTTATACTGTATATCATATCTTACTATTTTAATGAAGATTTTAACATTTTAAAAAAATAACTCAATTTTTCTTGTTAATAAATTACTGTGGTCTAATTAAAAACTTCACAAAACACAGAAGTATTAGAGTGATAAGGATGAAGTTAAAATGATTAAGCTAGTTGAATTAGTACTTTCAGAAAAAATGGAAAGGGCATTAAGTAAGTCTTTATATAGGTTTTCTAGAAATTAAATCCTGAGAAGAATCAAGTTGCAGCTTTTTTTCTGCAATGGGGCCTCAGATAGCATTCTTGAATCTGTGTCTTTGGAACTAGAGCTTTATAACATATCATCTGAGAAGTATTATCTATGTTCAACAGAACTGAGCAAGCCAAGGGTTCTTTGTTTTTTTAAAGCAAGTTGGTATGAGTGAAACAGAACAAGAGTTGCAATTCATCAGCTTTTCCCTTTGCACTAGAGAATGGCAGCCATCATAACCATTCACCCGGTAGCTATAATCATGACCAAAGTCAAGCAACGCTGCTAGCACCTGTGCTTCAGAGAGAAAAGTTCATCACTCAGCCCAAGAACCCCAGTTTTTGCCTATGGATCCTTTAACAGGTACCTTACAGTGTCCTTCTATTGTCAACTTTTCACCACTGGTACCAAATATCTGACAAATGCATCTGAAAGGAGGAAAGGTCTATTTAATGTTCATAATTTTAAAGGATTTAGTCCATGGTTGATTGACTCTGATACAGGAACATTATGATGGAAGGTGTGGCAGAGCAAAGGTGCTTAGTTTATGGCGGTTAGGAAGCAGAGGAACTGCATCAGAGAAGGAGCAAGGAAGGATCCAAATATAGTATTCAAGTTCATGCCTCTATGACTCACTTATACACAACCAGAAAGGTGCTTTACTAATCCCCTGGCCAGTTTTCGAGCCAATCGAGTTGACAATCCAGCTTAACTGTCAATTTTGATGTCTAGACTTCAGTTTGGACACTAATCATAGTGAGCCAGCAAGGGTACATGGCATTTGATTCCTCTAGCTATATTACTAAAAATCTGTACGAAACCAATTCGAAGGCATTACTTCTGGGCCACCATTTTAGTCAACTCTCCATTGCTGAAATAAAATACTGTACCTGAGAGAATCACCTTAAAGGAATAAATATCTATGTTGCCTCATGGTTTCAGTCCATAGTCATCTCACTCCATTGTTTTTAAGCGTATAACAAGGCAGAAACATCATGTGTGACAAAGCTAAGCTGTTAACCTCATGGCAACCAGAAAGCAGAAAGAGAATTGCTAGAGAGAAAGGGGCCAGGGACCAAATATAATCCCCATTGGTAAGATCCCATAATCTACTCTCTTCAATTAAATCCCACCTTCTTTCTATCATCTCCTAATAATGCCATCAAATTATGAATCCATCAATGGATTAATCCATTCTTAAAATTAGAGCTCTCATGATTCAACCACCTTCCAAAAGTTTTAACTCTGAACACAGGAGAATTTGGGGGAACTTTTACACCAAAACCGTGACAATGCCCCATACTCCTTTGGTCACACTGTTGCTTCTCCCCTGTTTCAGTCACTGAACTAGATTCTGCTTTGGATTACAGACAGGGAAGAGTCAACAGGGAGACCTAGGAGACACTAGACTACAGTGAAGATGGGAGTCATGGGTGAACCATCGCTCCAAGACAGAACAGGGAAGGTAAGAAAAGCCAAAGACCAAGATGGAGACCTGAGGGACACTTGTGTCTGACAGGACATAGTGACTGACAAGTTTTAGAGACAAAGAACAAACAAATATATAATGATACCTACATTTATATCAAGTGGCTCAGTGACAGAAACTTTGTCTTATTTTTCTTTAGATCTTCCAAGGCATCCATAGGTACTTAGTTGTTACCTAGAGAAGAAACAGAATAGAATAAGATGCAAAGGACAGAAGAGAAGAAACAGAAAATAGAAGAAATAATATGGGAATGAGTAAGGTGAGCAAGAGACGACCAGCTTAAGAAATGGTATATCTACAAAGATTCCCTGGATAGCCTGCTTTTTTTAAACCCAGAACTTTGGTAATCACTTGAGTTTCAAATCAGAGGAGGCATTATTGAAAAGTCTGAGTGTGGAACCTTTGAAAGCATGTCCTACAGAATTTACTGTTGGGGAATTTAAGGCCAACTTCAGGAAACCAGCCTCCAGAATGGGAACAGAAACCCTACAAGAAAACAACAGAGTAAACAAGAAACAGTGACTTTCGTACAATCCAACTTCTGAAATGAAGATCTCTTCATTTGGTTTTGTGTGATTTGAAGAGAAAGCAGTAAAACGATATTAGTAACTCTGTTAACTCAGTACTGAAAAGTAGAAAAGATTTAGTAGCTCCAGACAATTATGTGTTTATAATATGCGTTCCCAGTGGTGTGCTGGCTTGTGGGTGATAATTACAACTGACTGGCAAGGAAAGGCTGGAGAGGGTTTGGTGCACAGCATACTGATACTGCCTCATAGCAGGTTCCCAACCATGATGCCAAGTGATATTTCCCCAACTGGCTATGGTTTGCATCTTCTAGAAATTCCATTTTTCTTCTCCCAACTAAAGTTCATCACTATTTGGTTTTGTAGGTCCTTGAAGCTAATAAATTATGGAACTATTTGCCCAGAAAAATATTTTTCATGGAAAGAATCTATCGTAATCTAGAGGAAACACTCACTGCCTGAATTCCAACAAACCTATGCCATGGCATGGTTAAATTCCTGCACTCTGCCCAAAGCCAAGAGGTGTAACATGAATAGAAATATTGCAGAGTTCTTGATCCAACATTCTTGTGCTGTATTTACTTCAAATTTGGTCTTGTGATAGGAAGGTGTCATGTGGGACAAGGGAGGGTTACAAAATTCTTTTTATCTGGCTATACTTGTAACTTTTGTTTAGTCTGGAGAAATCTAAATGATACAGTTCTTTAAGTTCTGAACTTTTCAGTTTGGCTCTGTTTGTGTGTGTTACATGCATCAAACAACTGTCAAAGTACAAACTCATTTTTAGAACAAGTTAGAGTCTGCCTATGTTAAACAAAGAATTAAAATAGTGTGTTGCTTTTCTGTAGTTTCTTTCTAGCACAATTTTAAATCTCTGGAAATTTATAGGAATTTTAGACAATACTTACCCCGTTTTTAAATGAAAAAAATATTTTGATAAATGACACTTTGATAAATTATATACAACAGACAATTTCTTTTAAGTCCTTGTTCTCTGCTTGATTTTCCCCTCTACTCACCACCTCTCAAAGAAAGGCAGTAAAAACAAATGATTTGTTTACACAACACACAGACTCAGAATTTAGATATTTACATTTTAAGAAAATCCAATACTCGAAGTGATTACAAATTCAGTCACTTCTGCTACACCATCTAAAAACGGGACCAAAAATGGGAAATTCTAGTTGACAGTTTTACTCCCTAAGGAAGAAAGCATTCTCTAACTACTACCTCAAATCTTACTGCAATTAACTGAGAAAGAGGGTCCTTCCTTTGAGTATGAAGCATAGGAATACAAAAATGATCACAGGTTTATGAAGTTGTTTATACACTGTGTATGTTGGAGTTAGCCTGTGAGCCTCCCAATGCCAGGTAAGAAACCTCGAACATTTTTTGCTTTCCCTGTAGATGCTATCACAGGGAATGGTTGCATTGCAAAAGGATATTTTATTGTGATTAATACATGACCACTGGAATTGAAGTTTAGACCAAGTTGTAGATCTCCACTTACTACTCTGAGCAAGAAGTTACTCCAGGCTCAGACTCCTCATCTGTAAAATGAATATGATGATACGACAGACCACAAAGACCTGCTGAACAATCAAATGCAGTAATGTGATAAGCATACTAAAATTCTTAGAATATAATTAGCTTTCAATAAAATATTTTGAGATATCATCTATTGTGATATGTGTTTTTGAGTAATGGTTAAATAAAGTATTTTAAGACAAAGCACTTTCTTCTTAAGATAAAATTACTTTACCTATCAGTTTAAGTAAAAATAGTGGAAAGGGAACAAATATTTCCTAAGCATCTGCTATAAGACAGACTATGAACTAAGCCTTTTATATTGTTTAATTCATCCAGCCCTCAGGACACTGTGAATTTACATTATATCTTCTTTATAAATAAGGCAGCTAAGGCTAGAAAGAAAAACCTTCCCAGAGCAGCCAAACTTTAGAATCAGGAGATAAACAAAAATTTGTCCAACTCCCAGAGCCTCCTGGTCTGCTTTCCAGCCAAAGAAAACTTGAATCCAACATCTACTGTGGAGATGCCTGGAAACCGAGAGAGAACAAAGTTGGCACAGGAGGTTCTCTTTAGTAAGGGAAAAAACATTCAGGTTGCCCCTGTAAGCCATGAACACAAAGTAAGGATACAAGCATGGGGGGAAAATAAAAAGGCAGGAGTAGAAGAAACAAGAACTGGTAGAATTTAGAAATATAATAAAAGAACAGCATTGCAAAAATCAATTCACATGAGATGTAGCAAAAAGTATCAAAGGGCATGAAGGTAATGGTGGAAAAAGAGGAAGATAAAATTAAAGTGACCAAACAGTAATAGAATAACTAAGAGTTTAGCAACAAGACGTTAACTATGAAAGATATTAAGAAAATCTGAAAAAAATGAGCATGTCTTAAAAAGATAAACTATGTAATAGAACAACAAAAAAGATAATCTATGTAACAGAACTATAGGATATTTCAAGGTGCAAATCAAAGTTTATTCTTGCTACCCCATGAGAGTAACACCAGGCAAGATAGTATTTGCAACAAAGGCCTATCAGTCCCTAGGAACCAGCTCCAATCAGGCTTTTCTGAAAAAAAAATTAGCTGCTGCCTGGAGTGAAATGTTTTGGATAATAAGATTTATTCTTTAGGTATAAAAATCTATGTTTTTTTAGTAAAAAAAATGAGGGAAATATTTAATCTAAAAATTCAAAGACATAGCCTGTCCCTAGGGAAAAATATTTGAAGACACTTACAGAATATAGGTGGGGACAATCAGTACTGGAAACAGGAAAGCCAACAGTGTTCTCAAGGGAAAAAATGTGACCCACGGATTTTATAATCCAACCATAAAAGTCTAAAAATGAGTAAACATTTTTGAACATGTAAGAACTCAATGACTATAGTTTTTGATTTGAGGAAACTTCAGGAAACAAATATTATCCAAATGAAAGGAGGAAATCAAGGGTCCAGTAAAGGAGCTGCTAGCTTACTTTGTGAATTTCACCTAATTGACTAAGGAAAAACAACTAGAATGAATGGGGATTTTATTTATACAACAGAATGTAAAAGAATCAGTTAGTAGAGTGAGGAGACAGCCAACAGAATGGGAAAACCATTTTGCCAGATTTTGCCAGCTATCCTTAGCCAAAGGATTAATATCTAGAATGCAGTGTATAAAGAGTTCAGAAAAATTAGACCACCTAAAATAAAAGACCCAGTCAAGAAATGGGCAAGTAAAAGAAACAGACATTCACAGAGGAAGAAACACAAATGGCCAACAAATATATGAAAAAGGGTTCAACATCTCTAGCCATTAGAGAAATGCAAATTAAAAAAAAAAAACCTCTAAGATTCCATTTTATTCCAGAAAGAATGGCAATCATCAAGAAATCTAAAAGTTACAAATGCTAGTACGGCTGTGGTTAAAAAAAGAAAAAAAAGTCCTCCTGCATTGTTGGTATGAATTTAAACTATTACAACCATTATGAAAATCAATGTGGAGATTTCTCAAAGAACTAAATTTAGAAAGCCCATATGGCCCCACTATCCCACTTCTAAGCGCCTTTCCCAAAGACCTTAAAACATCATACTACAGTAATATATGCATGCTAATGTTTATAGCAGCATAATTCATAATAGCTAAATCCTGGAAGCACCCTGTACACCAATCAACAAATAATCAGAAAAGAAAAACATGTTATCTATGCCTGATAGAATACTACTTGGCTATAAAGTGGGGCAAATTTGAGACATTTGTAGGAAAATAGATGCACCTGATAAATATGCTGAATGAAGTAAACCAGACACAATAGCTTAAATACTGTATGATATCTCTCATTTGAGTAAGTCAAAGTACAAAGCAGTTAATATAAGAATGGATAGAAGATGATAGGGAGATGGGTTTCTTACAAATGGGAAGGGGCCAAAGGGAGTAAGGGGCAGGGGTAAGGAGGAGAGGAAGGGAAAATAAGTGGAAAGTAGATATGCCATGGACAGGTACCCAAAACCTCAATGAATATAAACATTATAGGCCATAACGTGAACTAAGATTAACAATAAGAATAAAAATGGGCCCAGCGCTTGGGAGGCTGAAGCATAAGGATCGCCCTAAGTTTGAGGCCAGCCTTGACTACATAGAGTTCAAGGGCAGCCCGATCTGCATAAGAAGATCCTGACTTTAAAAAAAAAAAAAAAAAGTGGGTAGAAGAATGAAATTGGGGAAAGGGGAACTCAAGAAGAGAGGGAGGATAGAAGGGAAAGTGGACTAAAAAAAAGAAATAAATCATATTATGTACACATAAACCTTCCCCAAGATGATCATAAACTCTATGTTCTGCAAACAGGTACTGATAAAAAAAAAAAAACCTGATGATATCTGCTATCATAGATCTGTCCATTTTCCTGCGTATTTACCCAAAATAAAAAAGGAAACAATGTCCATTCAACACTGGTTCACAAGTAGTAACAATTTTATTCATACTAGCCAAAACCTAGCAGCAACCCAAACACCCACTAGTGGAAGAATAAATAAAAATTTGTAATAGACCCATACAATGGAATACTATTCAACACTATAAAGAAATAACTGTTCATGCAAACAATGTCAATAGTGAGGTAGTTTCCATGTGCCCAGAAT